TAAGTGTTCTAGCTATGGATACTGTTTGAAGGGAATATGGGATGATGCATAATGCTTTATAAATTTATGGCTTTTGGGTTATTGATCTAGTATTTTCTGCAGTCGATAAAGATGTCTAGGATGAAGGATTTTGGGTAACCTGATGATGATAATACATTTTCATCGCAGTAAGGACAGAGGGAAGTTTGTTTATGTGTAAAAGAAACATTCATGTTTTATGGTTTTATTTCTTGGGGATAAATTAATATGTATCTTGAGATTTTCCCTATTTTTTTGCTTGTTATTCAAAAAAGATTTGCGAAAGAAGCCTGAATTTTGAATTTCTTCCTGAGCAATGTCATGAGCAATCACTGAAAAATCAATTCTCAACTCACTGCAGTTTCCGAGTTGCAATCATGCATCACACATAGATATTTATAGAAATGAAGAAGATAAGAGAGGATAGTATTCATGTACCAAAAGTAGAACTTCTTCTTTTTAATATGCCTTAGTACAATGTATTTTTTTACTGTGGAAGTTATCCTCTACTACCACCCCTACAACCCATACAACTTAAATTTCACCAGGAGTACTCACAGTGTTCCAAGCTAAACTGCTAGCCATACTTCACGCAAACAAGATTACCCAGATTTTCTGGCATGAACACTTTGTAATTGCTTAAGATTTGTCAATGGTCTCTTTTGATGATATGCATATCTTGGTCCCTAAGAACACAACTGATTTATAAAATCATATACAACCTGTAATCCAAACCAAATGTACAACTTTGCTGGGTGAAAGGCCGCAACGGTATTACGGGAAATGAACTGGCGGACAAAATCTGCAGCACCTGCTAACCTGCCACTAACTTTCACCACCCTCCCAAAGAGTGTCGCACGCGGCAAAAAAAGATCAGATAGCCCTGAAAATGTGAACAGACCTCTACACCCAAGACGACTCTACCAGAAATTTACAAAGATTTTATGCTACTTCAAATTTACTGATATTAATGATTCAATACATCAAATATATACTTACCTCAAAAATTCTAACTAGTCATAGTTACATTCGGGCAGATTATGCAATGGTATAAAGAAGACCCAACTTGCCCCCACAGTGAACCACCTACTCTTCACCTGCCCAACCTTTCATTGCCAAAGATTCCTGACAGCAACCTATTAGGGATCACCACATAATTAAATAATCCCAATAAAATATCCAAAGATATAAATCTGCATGGCTCCACCTCGTGAATTGGTCTTCCACTGGTATATATATTGCCATGTGGAAAATTACGAACGACAAACTTCAGGATGACAAAACAATTTATTTAGGGCAAATATACAAATTATGAATGATAAACAAAAGATAATCAATGAGGGAAGTTTACAGAGTAGCAAAATATAAACAAAAATTATACTCTGTTAATAAAATAATAAATAATTTGCTACATAGCCCCTTCCCTATGGGAGCTGAATCCCACAGCTAGCAATTATTGTAGTTACTGACATGGATCTGACGTGCTTCTGCCAAGGATTCTATCGAAGTCTTGGAGCCTTGTCCCTAGTACCTTTGCATCCTTTTTCTTGCGGCGTGAAGAGCGGCTTTGTCGTCGTATCGTCTATAGGGACATCTCATCTTGGAGGGAAGTCTTGGCTTTGACACGACGGTGGAATCCTGGAGTCAGTCTCTGAGAATGTAGATCACTGCACCCATGGCCTCAAGGTCTTCTCGGCGATCTTCAGTTCATCTTATTTAATTTACCCAGCATCTCCACCTAAATGCCACTTGGAAAATTAGGAAAGACAAACTTCAGGATGACAAAGCAATTTATTTAGGGAAATATACGAATTATGAATGATAAACAAAAGATAAGCAATGAGGAAAGTTTACAGAGTAGCAAAATATAAACAAAAATTATACTCTGTTGATAAAATAATAAATACTTTGCTACAATATATATTTTGTAAAAATAAAACCAAGAAGATTTAAGATAGAAGAACAGCCCGGATAGTTGGCGATTTCTGTACGCTCTAGAAACCTCTTTCTGGGTTAACTATGTATAAATAATAGTCTGTTTTAGAATAAATTATGTATTTATAAATAAATCAATTCTTGCCTTAAAATATGAATAAGATATAACCTGAAGTTTTTTTTTCTGAAGAACGAGTGCAAGGAAGGTGACCTGTGTCCATTTCCCCATGTCAACAGTGAAAGATAGTGGACTTTCTTAAGTTGCCAAAAATTACCGTTTATCGGGTCAAGAAGCAGTTTGATAAGGCCGTCAGTAAAAAATAAGGAATGGCTGCAAGAAAAAAACACACTCTTTGATTGGACAGGGTAAGTGACGAAGAATTCAAGCTCTCGAACAACTATTCGTGGTCTGAAGAGGCTGTTTCTTTTGGAGCTTTGGTGTGGTGGATTGGATGGTTGGTGCATTATTGGTCTGGGTTTATTTGGCAGATGCCTCTGTTGGTTCAACAGCAGTCGAGGGAGGCGCTGATAGAGACAGCAACGGGCTGGAGCTCGGCGTCGGTGCAGAAGGCTCGATGGCTGGAGTCTCCTGGGCAGGGACGGAACGATTCGCCGCGGGCGATAGGGCGTAGATACCGGTCCACTCCGGGTGTCTTGAGGATGGGCAGCACGACTTCCGTGGATTCTCATGGGACAGGAGGCTCGCCGGTGACCCTTTCGGTGGTATTTGCCACACTCATGCCGTAGGATATGTAGGCGGGTGTACACACTACTTTGGAGACAATAACCAGCTTGGCAGGGAGATAGTGGAGTTTGAGGCCTTCATTTAGAAGGACAAAGGCTTCCCTGCTGCCGGTAGTCCAGGTGTATCCGCCGCTGGTCACGACCTCATGGTTCAGGGACACTACCCTGCAGTATGGCCGCAGTGCCGCGACGATGTCCTCGTCCCTAATAGCAATTGGGAGATTGCCAATTGTCATCTTCTCTCTCCGCCCGTTTCTTATAAGGAAAGGTCTTCAGAAGGGTGGTCCTAATGGTGAGGCCCTCCTCAACCAGGCATTCCGCTAGATTGACGCTGGTCAGCCCGACAAGTACCTGGCCTGAAACGTTCATTATTTGGAACACCGAGGACTTTCCAAGTTTCTCCTCCAGGACCTTCATGTAGTCTACTGTAGAAAGATCAGAGCGCCACTCCACAAAGCAGCACTGGTCAAAGGTGGCTACAGCTGACCTGGACTTGCTCAGGGCCTGCTGCTGTTTGTTGTATTTCAGCTGTGTTACAGCGTACTTCCTCGGTGGCTGAGGTGGCCTAGCTACCCTGTGGTGTGGCGTGATGTACCAGGCTGCGGCCTACGTGCCTGTTCTGTAGAAGGTGAAAGCTTCCTCTTCTTACGCTCCATCATATGGACTTTTTTCTTCTTCTATTAATTCAGCCCAGTTACGGCTGGGGGCGGGCAAGAATTTGCATGTTCTTCTTTTGACGAAGCCGAATTTGAATGCTTGTCATTTTTATCAGACTAAGCAATTTTCATGTCAGAATTTTTTTCCGCTGATTTTTCAGCAATGTTTGCGTTTTTCGGGATAGGAGTCATACAAACATGTTCTACATCCATCAGGCATTCCGCCAATACCTCAAAGGGATTGGACACACAACTCTATCATATTAATTTAATTGTAATAATAATTCAAAGGACCAAAAGATTTTTGGTCGTAGAGGTACAGTCTGCACCACACTGACGAGGGACAACAGCTCGAAACTCGTTTTGGTTGACTTTTCTTGATTTATCGAGAAAATGTGTTGGCCAAATATCAGGGAACAGGTTAAATCAACGTTTAGTTGATTTCTGTTCTACTAGATGGCGCTCAGCCATCTAAAACAAAAAACGGACATGTTAGTGGTCAGGATATGTCTAATTTGTTTTTAATATCAACACCTGACCTCATTTATATATTTGTTAAATGATTTTTTATACATGTATATAGTATAAAAACCTCCCCTTTTACATGTACATTGTATTCTACAAATAAAGCCAACCTACAGTCAACCAGATAGAGACGGGAGGGAAAAGTCCAGTCACTTAAGACACCAGCGACATTCCAAGGGGCGACCACTGGGGTCCGTTAGTTAACACCTCGGGACTTTTAAGAGAGTTGGGGATTGTGGTGCGACACGAACGGCCGCCCGGCTGTGCCAGTGCCGTCTCTCTCTCTCTCTCTGGTTGCCTGGGTCGCTCTTTCAACTTCTGATCTCCGTATTTCTCTTCCCACCTCTTATTACCACATGTATATATAGGGAGATACTATTATTTATAGAAAAAAAAATAATTTTATTATATTTTGTGACTTATACTAGAGGAAGCTACAGCGGTTCTCTTTTCAGAACGGTGGATACATTTGGTAGGTTTTAATTCAAAGTGTTCTGATTCTTTATATATATTTATAAAGAATATTTTTTAAAAAATAAGATTCAATAGTGCAGTCGTTTGTCTGTGTGTGTGTGATAAAATACTTTATTTGAGTAAAAATGACAAAATATTTTCCCAGTTATATAGGATTTATGATATTAATCCTATATATTTTGTGAATTACATACACTCATGAACAAAACTTAAGGAAGTTGTATCTTTTAGCATGTATATCGGGATTTAAACAATATATCTGAAAGATATTTGATACACAGTGACGATACACGAGATAACCAAGTGTGAACAAAATTGCTTCTGTCTCCTTCAAATAAACAGACGACCGGCGACATCCTTAAGTTCATCCATGAGTGTATATATTTAGAAATATAGTTGGAATTCATCTGATACTTCGAATTATTTTGTCGTTTTTTTATTTTAAACATTCAAGATCTCTGGTTTCACTTTTTATCAACTTAAAATGACATTTAAACAATACACCGTTACACCGCATAAGTTTCTTTTTTTTTTTTTGTGAAAAATCAATATTTATTTCAAAGAGAAATATTTACTATTTCTAACTTTTTTGAATGAAGTATGAGAGGGTGAAAATATGAAGAGTAATGGCGAACGGAAAAATAAAAGTGTCCAGGGGCGGGAATCGAACCCACAACCTTCTGCTTACCGGGCAGGTGCCATGTCCACTAGGCTACCCTGGCTATGCGGTGTAACTTTAAGTATTGTTTATAATCACTCGCCTCAGTCCTTTATAATGTATTATAAGTTACTTTAAATATTATTTACGAACGGAAGAATACGTCCAGGGTAGCCTAGTGGACATGGCACCTGCCCGGTAAGCAGAAGGTTGTGGGTTCGATTCCCGCCCCTGGACACTTTTATTTTTCCGTTCGCCATTACTCTTCATATTTTCACCCTCTCATACTTCATTCAAAAAAGTTAGAAATAGTAAATATTTCTCTTTGAAATAAATATTAATTTTTCACAAAAAAAAAAAAAGAAACTTATGCGGTGTAACGGTGTATTGTTTATAATCACTCGCCGCAGTCCTTTATAATGACATTTGTTACACCAGTTGAAGACCTTAATATAGAAAGGTTTATTATTTTATTTATTGACCCAAGCTCGAGGAAGATACAAATGTCGCAACCACTAGGTTTGTTCTTTAGACTTGAAACCATTCTGTTTAGTTACCATACCAGTGGAAGTTTTATTTGGCAGGTTCCTGGAGCGTACAAATGTCGCCCAGACTAAGTTTGTTCTCTAGACTTGAAACCATTCTGTTTAGTTACCATACCAGTGGAAGTTTTTTTTGGCAGGTTCCTGGAACGTACAAATGTCGCCCAGACTAAGTTTGTTCTCTAGACTTGAAACCATTCTGTTTAGTTACCATACCAGTGGAAGTTTTATTTGGCAGGTTCCTGGAGCGTACAAATGTCGCCCAGACTAAGTTTGTTCTCTAGACTTGAAACCATTCTGTTTAGTTACCATACCAGTGGAAGTTTTATTTGGCAGGTTCCTGGAGCGTACAAATGTCGCCCAGACTAAGTTTGTTCTCTAGACTTGAAACCATTCTGTTTAGTTACCATACCAGTGGAAGTTTTATTTGGCAGGTTCCTGGAGCGTACAAATGTCGCCCAGACTAAGTTTGTTCTCTAGACTTGAAACCATTCTGTTTAGTTACCATACCAGTGGAAGTTTTATTTGGCAGGTTGCGTACAAATGTCGCCCAGACTAAGTTTAATGAGTTGTCGCGCAAAGCTTAATTGTTTCTTGTAAAAGATATTTTTTAGAAATATGTCGCCGGTCTCTCTCTCGTCTATGTTTTTGAATGAGACAGAGGCAATTTTGTTCACACTTGGTTATCTCATGTATCTTCAATAAATATCACTGTGTATCAAATATCTTTCAGAGTTATTGTCTGAATCCCGATATGCATGCTGAAACTTCCTTAAGTCTTGTCTCTGAGTATATATAGTTCACTAAATATAAGATTAAATATAATTTGAGCTTAAAGTACCGGGTATATAGTTGGCGTTCTGCGCTCTAGAAACCCGGGTTAGCTCTCTATGCTGATATAGCAGTTGTTAGGATGGTCCATCTCTCTTTTTTATTATTTTGTAAATGAAGGCCTTTAAAATTGTCTAATAAAATATCAGTTGGAGAACAAAATTTGAATTTGAACTTTCCGCTAGAATATCGATATATAAAAAATAAAGGTCACCTCTCCCGTCAAAAAATAGATGTCAAAACAAGATGTCATCTATTGACCGTCGCCGCAAACTAGGGCCCCGAGTCGGTGCCAGAGCCACAACACCAGCTTTGGCAAACTGAGAAGCGTCAACCTGGAGACCATGGTTTCGGGATAATGGCTCTCTTCAGTCCAGAGCGAGCTTTATTCCATGATATCCACAAGGGATCAAATGGAATCTTCACAATCTTTTAAAGAGGTGTTTAGCTGACAAAGCCACTTTGTCTTCGACCCGAGGCCCTAATTTGCGGCGACCGTCAATGAATGGAGTCTTGTTTTGTAATTTATTTTGATGGGAGAGAGGCTGCCTTTATTTTTAAAAATTAAAATTTTAAAAAAATTAAAGTTTTTTTTTTAAATAACAGCTTATTTTATGACGAATATTTTCATGTGAATGGTACTCTCTTAACGTTTTAATTATATATATTTCTCAATTAAAATATTTTTATTTTAAAAAAAATAAAAGATCGCGTGTGTATACATTTTTATCTTTTAATATGCCTACTAGAATAAAGTTGAAAGAACTTCTTAGTGAAGAAGACATTGAAAATTACAAGACTATACGTGAATACTTTACTTCTCAGAAATTGGTGACGTTTTCAAAATTATTTTCAAACAAATATCTTTATCTGAATAAGGAAGCCGAATGTCTGTACGGCTCTCTGTTTTCTCTCCGCGCCAAAGATAAAATCAAATCAATCTACAAGATCATTCCAATCGGCAATGCTTATACGCAAGAGTATTTTGCAAATATGAGTCATGTGCGGAATGATCTTAAAATCGGAGTTTTACTAACATCGCTGAAAAACAATTATATATTCAAATCTCCTGATAAGGTCTGGTTAGTATATGACAAATGGCCAAAGTTATTAGAAACGAGCTGTTTTTCTAAAATTGAAGAAAATTACCTCTATGTCGTATATAGGATAAATCTCAATGGTGAAACCTTGGAATCCTTGAGTGAAGAAAAAAAGATTTCTAATGTACAATTGCTTTCTTTGTTTCAACAGGCGGTTTTGGGGTTTATCCAGGCTGAGAATGAATTGGAATTTGAACATCGAGGATTACATAAGTTTAGCTTCCTGGTTACACCGACTTCGAAGAAAAGAATGAAGTTCAAGATACACGACAAGACCGTCTCTGTCAGGACATATGGAGTACGGCTACGGGTGGCGGAGTTCCCCATCTCCAGAGCCAGGCACATGGACCACGTCTACACTGCGGCCATCCACGCCTCTTCAGAGGACTACAGAGTCCAGATGATCCACAACCGGCCTTTATCTTTCCAAGCCACCAATTGTATCGTCCTTCGGCCCCTATTCAAGCACTTCATTAAAAAGACAGAAAACGCTAGAAGCTACTTTAAGGATATCCTAGGTATCGATTTAACAGATTTTGATAAATGTAAATTAGTAAGTGATTTGTACAATTTACTGAAGGTTTCAGGGAGACGGAAGAAACGCTTCTTGTCAAAGATTAAAATGTCCCGAGGTTCGAAGAAGAAACAATTATTCAGTAATAAACCATCAGCTCTTGACAAATTGATAAGAAATATACCGTTTTTCAACGTTGTCTATCAGAAAGAGACTGTAGCTCCACGTACAATCGTGGTAACCAAATAAGAATAGGTAATTTGTCATCAGGAGCAATGTATATATCGTCTATTAGTTCTCCTGGTGATTACAGTAATGTTATTACCGCAATGTCAGCTTACCTACTTGGCCTTGCTACATTTTATTCGAAAATCAAATTACTATCTCAAACCTTTTCATCAAGAGTAATAATTTGCCCCCTTTGATTGAAACATGTATATAAAAATTTCAGTTGTACATATTTATTTTGCATAATATCAATATATGTAAATTAATTGTAATATTTTAGTTGTGTTTGTGTGCTCTGTATGTACTGGATTAATGGCCCGTTCAACGATCCTATCTAGAACGACAGCCAGTTCTGATTTGTATTAAATAATGAAGTTGTTGTTGTCGTGTCCAATGAAGAGTCTCATATGTCTCCATACATCTCTATCACAGCAGCAGCAATGTCCACTATCTTGGGTGTGTAAAGCTGCTGTTTTGGGTCCATGTCACTTTTCTGTTGTTGTTGTTGTCGTGTCCAATGAAGAGCCTCATATGTCTTCCTGCATCTCTATCACAGCAGCAGCAATGTCCACTATCTTGGGTATGTAAAGCTGCTGCTCTGGGTCCATGTCAATTTTCTGCAAGGCTGCGGCCATTGCTGGGCATGAGCATTTAAATAATGAAGTATTGGGATATTATAGTTTTTTCTAGTATATTTTAAACTATACTTAATGTCAAAAATTTACTAGCACCTTTTTGTTTCACTCTAAATCTCCTTATATGATAGAAAATAGCCACCTAACACCCTCGTTTTTATTTTAGTGATATAACATAAATTCATATTTTTAAATGTATTTTTATTTATTCATTTTGTCTCAGTTTACAGGTGTCGAGTCACCTTGTCCTGACTATTTACATATGGTGAGTTGGTGGAGTAGAGGTGGCAGACCTTGCAGCTGTTGGGTGATGAACTCCTAACTAAGCGTCAGGTCGTCGGAATCGGGTTTTGATATTCCCTTTATTTTCATGAATATCTTATATAGTTGGGGTTAGATGAATTTTTGCAATTCATTGTAAATATGCTTTGATTACTTGCATTTTTACACACAGGTCCTTTGTATCTGAACGAGGATTTTTTCTTGTTTTAACCTCAGCATTGCTTTGGTTCTTTTCTTCTACAATTTTAGCAGTGTTTCAGATATCTTTGAAATTTGAATTGGGTTGTTAGATTTGTACTGACCAGGGTATCTTGGCTGTTGTACTCTCGGAAACTTTGGGCATCCGCGGTAATTGTTAGTATGAGCTTTTCGCAATTTGCACATTTTGGGGGAAGTTGTCTTCACTTTCTTGGACAGTCCTTAAAATGGTGATCCTGGGCACACTTAGCGCACTTTGGTTTCAGGAAGCAGTTAAGTTGACCGTGCCCAAAACCCTAGCAGTTGAAGCATTGAGTCACTCGGTTTGTTGTTCTGGAAGATTCTACTACGATATTTTGATATAGAAGTTCAGTTATTCCGTAAATTTTATTGTTTTGTTCGTTTTTTTTTTGTAATTCTACCAGTACTACCAGGTCTATTAGTATGAAACGCGAAAATGGCCGCCCGAAGGCGCTGTGCAACTTTATTTGAGCCGACGGTGGCGCTGTTGAAGGCGTTTTGTTTTTTGACTCACGTGGCATCAGCACGCGTGCAGTTTTAGAAAAATTCAAATCGTGGAAAATTTCTGGAGCCCGTGGAAAATGACGATTTCCGAGCCAAAAAGTGCCCATTTGCGGGAAGTTTTGTTGTTCGCCTTCAACTGGAAGAAAAGTGCCACTGAAGCCCACCGAATGCTCGAGGAAGTTTACGGCGACCACGCTTTGAGCAAATCG